CACATCGGCCGGGCACGTATTGCTGACGACGATCAAAACCCGAAAACCGGGTGTTACGCATCGACATAGTCCGACGGCACTTTTCCTTATTTTTTTTTTTTTTACGGGTATATATTTAAGCGTTCTATCGTAAATTTGCGCGCGATGCATGCGGAGAGAGTGATAAGGAGAATTACCTCGACAAACAGTGCGCGCACAATATACACACGCCGCGAATAAAAATTATACAACGTATGCGCTCCGCGCACGGTTTGTTATCGTCTAACAACGACGCGACAACGTGCGTGATCACGTACCATAGAGATTTGAGATTATGAGACAATTATTAAACAAATCTCTTCTCGCTCTTTCCCGCGTTCTTGCTTGTGCATCCCTCCCCGTTATCGATTTATGCGACCATCACCTTCAGATAAAAGCGAGCATATCAGAATATAAACCCGAGGAAAAAGAAGACGGGGGCGCGGAACGATTCATTCAGAATTAAGAAAAAAAAAACGAAGATTATTGAAGCGAAGAGAGGAAACTCCGCGTTTTAGTAATGATATAAAATTTTCTCTCATCGAGAGCTTCGCGCCGGAATTATTTATAGCGTGAAAAATGTGGAGTGTGACGAAACAAGTAACTCCGTCAATTAATATTTTTAAATTGAATGAAAAAAATTCAAAACTGATTTCAAATTCAAATCTCAATAAATATCCTAGTCATCGATTCGTGGTGTAAAATTTTTAGAGGTCATGGTTTTTGTTTTTTTTGTTTTGAGTAAATGCGCATGATTTTTTCTGTTTTCGCGCGCTGAGTTCACAACCCACCGTATGGCCGTGTGTGTGTCCATCGGAAAATGTCAGGTCTTGCGCGAGAAATGACGAGACTTCCTTCGTGACGGGGCTAATAAATCTTGTCCGAACGTAATTAGGTTAACCAGGCGCTTTATATATTAAATTATGCGCAACGTTGCGCGCGGCGTGTGTGCGATAAAAAATGTAGTATCTTTGATTACTATTTTGCATAGAGATTTACCGAACGAAGTAGGAAAGGGAGGAGGGAGGGTTGAAAACGGGAAGAGGAGGGAAAGGAGGAGAAGCGAAGTGGCGCGGTGTGTATGCGCGCGTGATATTGTTTTATTTAAATACTATCGTACGCAAAGAGAGAGAGAGAGAGAGAGAGAGAGAGGATGAGAGTGAGAGAGACACAGGAGAAAGCCCACCACCCGGGCTTTATTGGAAATTGAGCCAATTATGGTACTTGAGTTAACGATCCATCGTAATACAGTTTCGCGAGAGAGCGTTAGCTAGGCGATCCCAAACGAGATCCCTGCCATATACGAGGCGTCGTCGCGCAGATTGCTTTGCACCGCGTCGCCGTCGTCGGTTCTGATTGGAAAACGTCCTCGAAGGACTCTTCGTTATCGTCGTGTTCGAGAGGAAGGAAACCACCGGAGCTGCCACGACGATAAGCGAGAAGTCGTGTTCTTTCGGCTTGGACCGGGGGTAAAGCCGCGATAGCGTACGTTAACTTTCGGCCCGGCACACTTCGGCAGCCATCGGGTCTCTGGGTTCCAGTGCCGCGATCGCGGTTCAAAGTTCAAACTCGATTTAACTTTGAAATCGGGAAGAGAAGGGGTTTTGCGCGCGCGTTGACCGGTCAAGTGCTCGGCCGCCAATGCTTCCGAGTGTCTCTGATAATTTAAGCGCTCTAATTGTCGTATTGCTTCGCCGATATCGGATAGGGGGAAGGGGGTGGATGCCGCCCTGGCATTTTTACGCGACGTCGCGCACGTGTGCGGCGAGTTTACGCATTTAACGAGACGACGCGGCGCGCGCGGCGGAGTTAAAACGCGCGCGCGGTCTACTGCGCGCTTTTGTTTTTTCTGGTCGCCGCGCCGCGCCGTGCAAATGAAATCTCCGCGATTCGTGCTACGGTATAAAATACTTTGAATAATTCGTGACGCTTGTTGGCCAGAATGCAAATGCTCGTTATTTTTTCGGCTATCTCCGTTATTTTAGGTTCACCGCGCCGGTGCGCGGATTTTTCAAGCGCGGATTTCTCGAACGCTGTTGAATTCTCCGCGAGAAGCACGATGTGACGAGAGTTAAATCTGGGATAAACGTATAAATATTCGATTTGTTATTTCCGTTTTGCGAATTATTCAAAAGTAAAGATTTTAAAACGTTGTAACGAACAATTGACAAATTCGCGTTATTGCTCAAATATTATACATGTCAGTAACTGATGTGATTTATCATACATATCAGTTTATATGTATGATGTATATATATAACGTTTATCATATATTTGATGCTTTTTTCGATATACATGATGCTCGGCAAACTTTAGAAGAGTCGGACTGTCATTCTTCCGTCGAATTATGTCGCTTCGCTATTACAAAATGGATGATTATAATAAAAGACAGAGAATTGTTCTCTGTAAATTATCGGTTGGTTAAAAACAATTTTGAAATATTTGATGCAGCAAAAATACATCTGGACAAATAGCCCGGTCATTCGATAACCGGGCGACACATATCATCAAAAAGTGTGCGCGTTCGCGATATGTTAATTCTCGCAAACACGCGATAATAATAATTTGCGAATGCGCGATGGGAAATAAACGCGCGATGCAGGTCGGTGCACTTTGAAACAGCGAAAACCCCTCTCTCGGCGCGCGCCTATCTCGCGGAAAGACAAATAAGGCGGGGGAGGGTTATGGCACGGTAATTGGCCGGTTATAAATAACCGCGAGTATACGAGGTGACGTTCTCAGAAATCTTAATTACCTTTATACGAACGTCACGTGACAATGCGCATTTAGCGGCCGGTCGGCTGGCTGGTCGGTCGGGTATAAGACGCGCTAAATCGCACGGCTTGATTCCGGTCGCGATGTATAGTTACAAGCCAGAAAGGGGGTAATTCACAAACGATAATCACTGCTTGAAGCTGCCGATAGTCCCATTTACTGTCCGCCCATTCGATTTACAAACAGTAGTTAGCGTTCTGCAAATTCGGTGCCGCATAACCGAAGATGCAATCGCCGGTCGTGCGCCTCGCCTCGATCACGTCGAGTGTGTTTTAATTAATTGCGAATTAGCGACAACAATTTTCGCGCGCAGAGTCGTTTAAAAATAACGCTCGTCGAGAAAAGAAAACAAAAGTAAAATGACAAACTAAAAATTTCAACGTCAAAAGAAAGTAGGGTCGAGAGTGTTTGAGTGAGGAAGAGAATAATCAACAGAGAACCTGAAAATGGCTGACAGAAGATTTCCGCCGATTGTCTTACGACAATCTCGAAATTTTGTTTATGGCGCTTGGTGTGCACAGCAGCGAGAGGTGAAGGGACAATTTCCGAACGACAATGGTTTGCTGGAAGCCGCCGAGCGTTCCATTATCTCGACCGATTCGCAAACAGTAGTTATACCCTCCACAAACTCACTATTTCATAGGTAAAGACGCGGCCGCAGTCCGAGCCTCGCGATCGCGCGCGCGAGCAAGCGAGCGAGCGAGCGAGCGAATGTTTTAATTAAGTACGAACTTAAAACAAAGTTCCGTCTCTCCTCTCGTTGGATACTAAAAATGCGCTCTCGATAGCAGACGAAAGGCAGAGAGGAAAGAAGAGATAGAAAGAGAGAGAGAGAGAGAGAAAGAGAGAAAAAGAGAGAAAGTTAAATCAGCGAACTAATTTCGAAGCGAAACATCGTCGGCTTCGATTGGACGATATAATGCGAGCGCAAAAACTCGAGGAATAGCGAGAGAAGAGAAGATTCTCGACGATTTTTCCGGTCGTGGACTGTTATTCTAATTTATTCGACCTGAACGCGAAGACAATCGGTCGAACACTCGACCGTTACGTAAACTGCTGGTACGCGTCCAATTAAATTCCATTCGATTCTTAGAGACTTTATATCTACCCTCCACGCTAACTTCGATGTAATTGAATTATATTCTCGACCCACCAAAGTTTTGTTTAACGCGATCGAAGATTCCCGGTATTTTCGGGAGGGGGGGAGGGGCTACGCAATATATTGTTATTCTCCGCGCTTTTGCATGGATATACATAAATGCATGGCGCTTTGTATACTAGCTTTTATTCGCCTAGCTTTTATTCTTTCGGTTTTTATTCCTCCATGTCACGTTGCATTTTACCGCGCGTGAGCGAGCTAGACGAACCTCCGCGCGCACAAACGTATGCATTTGTCGATACGTATACGCGTGTATATCCGGTTTCTCTCTTCCTCCCTCCCTCTCTCTCTCTCTCTCTCTCTTTATCGACGATTTAATCGGGCGATTTCAAGATAATTACGAAATTTGCACCGAGTATTAGCGGGTTCGTTAATTTACTAATTCGCTTATCGTATAATGAACATCATCGTATCACATCGGATGGAATAGCCTGATTATTTTTCCAACAGCGGTTTAATTCACAAATCAGCAGCAATTTCAGGCACTTTTATTGAACTTGAACGGAGCAATCGGAATATATATACGCTCGGCACGTCGAAAACGCGCACGCACGGCAAAAAGTGAGTTTTGATACCACTTGTAAAGCCTTTATTCGCGCACGCGGATTCATTATTTGTCAATGTCGATGTCCGACCTGCAATAATAATTGCGCATTTCCCTTGCAGCCATATACAAAACGTTCCGTGTACCGCACATTCAAAATTTCGTTACAAAGCCGTATTTTAACTTTTCGGAAAATTCACCTACCTCCGACAAATATAATTTTCGAACTCGTTTTCATGAGAATCTATGTATTTAACCAACACGCGAGCTCCCGATCGCGATAAAATCTCTCGGAAAAACTCGGAGCGATTAATCGTAATTTCCTTGTCACTAAATTGTTTTACAAAGGGTCAGGGAGATAAGAATCAATTTTACGATAGCAATAATCACTTTTGTCATATATTCGACCGCGTAATTCATTTTCTTACTTAAACGCGCGAGCACCCGCTCGACCACTACTACATTATGTGTGTGCGCACGTGAAATTCAACCGATTGTGCGTACCTGAATGGATCAGCAGCAGCGATGACAATAGGAGAAGCCGTGGCAGCAGGACGGCGAAGACCGCGTGCAGCATCCTCACTCCCGCGAATGATCCCGGATTTCCCAAGATCGCCGAGGATGCCTCGATGCGACGACGACGACTGACGCGTTCGGCGCGACAGGCAGTAAGATCGACTTCTATCTTTTTTAACTCCCGTTATCAGAGCGTTGGCGAGTCATTTTTTCCCGTACGTACAAAAGAACCAGAGGGAGTGAAAAGATCGAAAGAATCACAAGGTGATAAACACTCAATCGTGGATGATATACGCACACGTTGTTCTATGCGTCGAACGCACCGAAGAACCCACCAACGGTGGGAAATCGATCTTTCACGCTGGTCGACCGAGAAACGGAACGAACACGCCGCGCGGCACGGCACGGCACGACGCAACGCGGTCACAGCGCGACGCGACGACGCGGCGCAGCGCGGTATCCGCGCGCGAGAAGCGCGCGGTTTTGCCGCTTGCGCGCGCGGAACGAAAAGCGCGTAACAGCGCGGAAAGAGCGCAAAGTTTGCTCACAACGAGAAAGCAACGTTAGCTGAACGGTGAACGGCGTTTGTGATGACAACAGTGCGTAGCGGCGGGCAAACGTTTCAAGTACTCGCGGCGACTCGCGCTGACGACACGCGGCACATAATTTCCTACGCTACCGCCCCTTGACTAATTGAAAATCTATATACGGTCGCGTTACACGGGTTTCCACCTTCCGCGGAAAGCAGTCGGTACTGCGGCATCGGCACCGGAGGAGGACGAGGCGCCGAGGCGCGCGCGAGAGGAGAGACGCGCGAGGGTTTCGAAAGAGGAAGAGGGAGAGAGAGGGAGGTTTAGAGGGAGAGAAAAGGAGAGAAGGATAAAGAGAGAGAGAGAGAGAGAGAGAGAGAAAGAGAGAGGGAGAGAGAGAAAGAGAGACGTGACGGAGTCTAGGAGGTGGTAGCGACGGCAGTGCTGCTGCTGCTACTGCTGCTGCTGCTGGTACCGTTGCCGCCGCTGCCGACTGTGGTGCTGGTGGTGGAGGTGATGGCAGTGGTTCTGGCGGTGGTGGTGGTGGTTGTGCCGATGGTGGCGGCGGCGCTCGGAGGAGGGTAGAAGACCACCTGGCAGCGCGGGGCGGAAAGAGCGCGAGAAGGACGAAACGATCGGTAGGAGGTTGAAGGGGTCAGAGAGGGTTGCAGGGAGACTATATATGGAGGAAGAGAAGGAGAACGGGCGGGGAAGGGCAGGGTGAGAGTGAGTTTGAGTTGGTTCCTGGGCGACTGCGCCGTTCTCCAAGTCGATGATCGCTGCAAAATCTTCCGTCTCTCTCTTTCTGGCGCGAGAGGCGCCTCTCTCTCTTTCGGTGCGTTGCCTACGTACGCGCGCGTTTCTCACTTCCACGCTCGTATATATACCTGTATAACATGTATATACGTGTATATACGTATGTATACAGCGTGCGCGTTTGTGTGCGCGCGCGCGCGCAGAGAAGGGGATGGAAGCGCGCTAACGAAATTGGCGAAATACGCTCCGCTCGGAGGAGCGCGCAGACGGAGGCGGCCGCATATCCGTCCCTCTCGAACCCTCTCGGCGTATCGCTGTCGTCGTTCCTCTTTCGACCGACCGATCGCCACACACCGCACCGCACCGCACCGCAGTGCCGCGACGTCGAGTCTCGGCTGCGGGAAAAACGGTCGAGCGGACGAGAGGATAACGCGGAAGTTAGTTGGCGATCGTCCGGGACGATCTTCCGTACATCGGGCTTAATCCTGTGGCTCGGTAATAGGATCGACCGGCGATCCCTCTGGGAGTATCCGGCGCGACTCTCGAGATTTTCGAATTTATGGGGGAATTGCGGGCGTATGTACGCTCTACTACGGATGCTCGTCGTATGGAATATGCTCCTCGCCATAAATCCAAAATTCCGAGTGGCCCGAACGACGTAGCTCCATTGTTGGGCCGGGTACGTGTAAGGAGAGAGTCGTCCCGCGATTGTCCTCCCCAGACCGTTCCAGTGACATTTGCCAAAATCCCTGATATATATTTTATTTATAAATCTACTCGTCTCTGATATTTCAATTCCCTCCTTTCTCGCCAATTGAATATAAATGAGAAAACTTGGTCCATACAAATTACATCGTTTATATATTTATTATATCGGAAATTTATTATTCAGATAGCCTTTCATTTAGATGGTTAATTATCACGTTAGATGTTTTACACGCAGAACAGATTAACGCAAATATTTTGACGTTATATTTTTCAATATATTGTAGCATTTATAAATCAGAGTATATCCACTAATATAAAAATATAGTTATATATATATATATATATATATATATATATATATAAACATAGTTATTCCAGTATAATGCGTTTTAGAAAAATACGAGTGAAAAAGGAGCACGTTGTTGTGTTTGTAACTGTAAACTTATAGTTAAAGCGAAGTGTGTAGCCACTACAGATCTTCTAGTGCTCGAGGAAAAATCTCGGGATGAGTATTATTCCTTATTTGAACCATAAGCTCGGTATCAACTCGCTCGCAAGCGCCGGCGTAATAGGAGAGTTTCTCGTACACGCGCGTTACGTCAAAAAAAGGCATAAAAAAGAGTAAAGAAGAAGGGCGTTTCGTGCAACCACTCGCGGAAAGGAGAGAGCGCTTCCGTGTGCAGCGAAAGAATTTCTCTCGCATTTCGAGTTATTGCACTTGACAGGTTTCTCGCCCCCGCAGCTCACTCCGCCCTCGCGCGTTACTTCGGCGAGTGTGCCGGTGAGCTTGCGGCGAGAAACGGGAAATGGGAGGATAAGGCGAAAGTTAGTTGGTGATCGTCCGTGCATCGAGCTTTAATCCTTTGTCCCGGTAACGGGATCCCGGCGTTAAATCCGCTCGGTCTCTCGGCATCCGCGGAAGATCTTTCGTACTTGTCCAAATAAGGGCAGTAATTTAACACCGGAAGTAGGCGAACGCTGGGCGCGTTCGCTCGCGGAGAGAGCGAGCGGTCATTTCCACCCCCTCCGCTCGTCCGTTTTTCATCGCTCTTTGAATTTTCAAGCACCGCTACAATCCAAATCGCACTGCCGCTCGATTGACTTTTACATTATTCGACTTTTTATCTTTTTGTCACCGTGTTACTCTATTTGATTTTTTAGCCGGCTGTAGGTTCCATGACTGTACAAATATTGCGGATTGAATTTTAACATTGGAGGAATCGAAACGTGATCATTTTTGAACGCTCGCGAATGTTGAATAAAAATATGGAAAAATTTTGTCTTTTTTATCGCACTGATGCATTTTTTTCGAACTATCTCTTTCTCTCTCTCTCTCTCTCTCTCCCTCTCTCTATGTCGTTTCTTATGACGTTCGGCTTTTAGTGGCGCGCTGCAATAATCTTTCGTGGTTGTCCAAATAACACGGGACAGTTCTTTAACACCGAAAGGACCCCGAAAAGAGAGCGGTCATTTCAACTGTCGGCGAATTTCGAATAGGTAATACCGTTTGGTTACTTGATAGACTTTTGCGGTTTTTCGACTTTTCTATCTACTTTCTGCGCCCTCTTATGCCCTTTTTCGTGACCTTTTTGCGCTTGTCTAAATAACGCGCGAGAATGGTTCCGGTCCTTTAATACCGAGAAGAGGTCGAAGCGATTTCGTTCGCGTCGAGGAATTTTAAACGCGAGTAATCCCGTTTTTTACTTGAGAGATTCCTGCATTTTTCAGGCTGTCCATCGCGTTTTCGCGCTCTTTAATCTTTAGCGGTAATAGAACAGACTACTATAAATAGCCGTATATTTGATAAAAAAAAAAAACAAAAAAAAAATGCTGCACGAGAACTCTTCTAGTCGTCGGTTCTAGGAGAGAGAAAGAGATAGAGAAAAAAGGAGAGAAAGGCATCTATACAACTTTCGCCAACTAATTTCGATTTTTCAGGTTTTAAAAAACTGGAAACTCTGTTAGTTGCAACGAGAGCAGAGGAAAAGAGCAGAGAGAGAAAGAGAGGGAGAGAAAGAAAGCGAGGATGAGAGAGGCATGATACTGGTGCGCGCGCGCGCGCACCAGTATACGTCAATGTTAAATGTTATTCGAGGATTGAATCGGAGTTGCGTCTTCGTCGCGCACTTCGCATAGTTATACGTTACATAAAGCAGGTGGAAGAGTGTTTCGCATAGTTTCTCGTTGCCGCGAGGTACGGCGCGAACCGTGATATTGTAGAATCTCTTTCTCGCATCTGCTCTTCAAGTTATCGCGTTCGGCAGGCACTGTTGCCTATGAATACACACGCGGGCGGCAGAGAGCCACGTAATCCGGATATATGCGCGACTAAAAAATTCTGTTTTCTTCGCGTGTACAATCACTCGTTCGCTATTTATGTTTNTTTTTTTTTTTTTTTTTTTTTATCTCGCGTCGCTAACGCTCGACTACAAAAAAAAAAAAAAAAAAAAGCGGGGGAATAAGTGCGCCCGAGGCGTGGTTAAGATCCCTGCCGATCGTTCGGGATGATTTTCAGTATATCGAGCTAAATCCCGTAATCTGATAACAGGATCAGCCGCGCCGACTTTTCTCTGACGATCGGAATTTTCGTTGGCTTTATTTAACGCGTTGCGATGTTGCGCCGCGATGAAATCGCAAGCGCTTGACTTTGCGAAATCTTACGCGGAAACAGAATTATCGGTATTCGAGGATTGTGTAACAATCCGTTCTCGTTTGTTATTAGATTCGCGTAAAAATAAGAGAACGTTTCCTACGGGAGATGTGCGAGAGACATTATATACATTCTTTCAATATTTGAGTATATTCGCTCTCGTTGTTGCGATTCCAACAAATATCATTTTTTTCCTCTCAGTAAAATATTAACAAGGGACAGACACAATAGCAGCGTTTAAAGTCCCTGCGAGACTCTCCCCGGTTAGACCGATATGCGCCTAATGATCGGACCACAGACTCCTATTTAGAAGGAGTTTACGAGAAACGCGGTCGGAATTCGTTAGTTGTTTAGCTCTGCCGCCGTTGCGTCGATTAAATAAATTTCCGGTGGCAGCCGGCCAGTTGTGGAAGGGCGAAAGAACGCGGCGAAAACATTAAAGAGTTTCCCTTCACACTCGGGAGTTTCCGCAACTCGATAGCTTTCTCGCCTTGGCGCGCACTCTGTTCTTCTTTGGCTGGCCGACGCCAGCCGGGCTGCACAGGATAAACGGCCAGTGGATGAGACGATAACGTGAAAGTTACTTGGTGATCGTGTAAGGCAATCGTCCGTGTATCGTGCTTAATCCTCCGACTCTCTGGTAACAGGATCAGCGCGAGAGAGGAGAGAGGGGAGAAGAAACTTTTTGGAAGAGTGTTCGCTCGCGCGCATCGCCGATTAAATGTAT